AGTCCAATTTTCCACGAGTCAGATTGCTATATTTCAGGTGTCTGCCACACTGTATCATCATTCCTCTCCAGTCTGGTGATAATGGAGTCTGCACCATGGCTAGATAATATGACACACCCCCTCAATAGGATATGCACACCACCCAAAACCATAACATTGCTCATCCTCATCTACCGGTTAACTCAGCGAAATTCAGTTCCCTGCAGGCCAACAGTAACTGCTGTGCAAGTTACACGCAAACTCGAGAGCGTAGAACTCACCTCGGTGTCAAAGCTTACGGACGTCATGCCGGCCAGCCAGGCTTCACTCTGAGATCTGCCGCAGCTCAGAACAGCACCTTTCACTGGCCAGTGAGTTCCAAGAGCAAAGAGATAGATAGATAGATAGATAGATAGATAGATAGACACAGAGAGAGAGAGAGAGAGAGAGAGAGAGAGGTTTTTGATTCCTCTTCTCCTCACCTTCTTCCTACTTCAGAGAGAGAGAGAGAGAGAAAAGAGGGACCTAGCGACTACTCCAGGTTCAGACTTCAACCTTGTACTGGGACGCAGTTCGAGGCAATGAGTTTGGAAGAGAGATAATTACCTTTTCTGCTGTTATATGTTGGCTTTCTGTCTTCGGCCTGTTCTCTTCTTGTCATCATCTATGTTTCTCCCCATGATTGTGTGTGAGCAAGGACAGATCTTATCAATTTATGTCGGCGTCCTTCCCATCATGATTGCGAATGGTAAGTGCACTTCCACAGTCCTATTCCCTACAAGCCGGACTGGTCAAATTCGAAGTCTCTCTCCACTCTGGTGATTCTTGGGTCTGGGCCATGCCTCGCTACTGATAGGCAAGTGACACACACCCTCAGAGGTTCTGCTGTGCCGTGCCCATGCACATAACCCAAAAACTTTGCGGCCAGGTTCTGCACACACGACTGCACTGGCCATCGTCATAAACAAGTTCACTCAGCTAGATTCAGTTCCCGGCAGGGCCAGAATTAATCTCTCGTCAACATCACAGCGCCTTGCAAGTCACACCCATACTTGAGAACCTCGTGCCAGCAAATCATAGCCGTTGCCTGGGATAACACGGGACACTCAAAACTTTACAATGTTGGCAACTGCTTGTGTTTCAAATCACTTCTTACATACTTCCCAGCAAAGCCTCAAATCCAGGTTTCCCAAATGACAAAATTCGAATTGTGTCATCAGGGGACCATCAAAGCTACAGACGTCAAGCCCAAAGTGCTTTCCACTGCTCTAGTACAGCAACCTGCAGCAATAAGCTCTATAGACCAGGAGGAGAGCAAGACTCACACCTGCTCCATAAGACCGAAGGGAGGGAAAGCACCCTGGCAAGAAACTGACTTCCTGTACACACAGAAGGTTATCAATTCAACTCTCCAATTGCACAGCAAATTTCAAAGTTCCAAGCTCTGGTTGAATGATCGACAACCCTGGCAGGGACGGATGGACGCCCACCTCAACGTCAACAATTCATTGCTCTGCTCCCGTAGAAGCCCTTCCTTCGCCCACGCCTGGCAGAGGTAATCAATTCCGTTCGCAGAGTTAGGGATTGAATGGGTCCCACATGTGTGTAAACAGAAAGACCACAAGCCAGTCAACACAACCATGAGACATTAGAATGAGTTCCCTTAATTCCATCGCAACCCATCGTGTATACTATACTGTGCATAGCTGTGCACAATGTGTTTGATCAATTAACATATCCCAATCTTAGCAGCCAGATGTGCAACCCATCAGAAACAGGACCAGGAATCTCCAAAATAATATTCCAGACGAGCAATAAATCAAGAACCTACTTCACTTGTTCTTCCAGGCAAACAAGGGTTCGTGGAGCACCGCTGCTACACTGGATATCATTCAAAATTGTGCTCAATGATCCTCAATCATGAACTCTTTTCCTATAAGCCACCACTACCTCTGAGCCTGTTTTTGCCAAAACTGAATTTCACTGCGAACCGAGTATTGACGAGCCTGGGTCCCATTGTATTTTCTTTTCTGGTACTCTCACGACAGTTACATTAAAAAAAACAGTGCGAGATATGAGCCTCGCAGAGCCCTTATCAGACATACAAGTATTCTGGGCTGTGGCCCGCAGCAAGCATCATGCCCTCTCTACGTGAAGGCGGGCCTGAAAATCCACGTGAGGCCTGTTCTCAACAAGTTTTCCATATGTGGGTACTCAGACAGTTGCAGCACACCAGTTGGTTACATGAGCCTCCAGGCTCTTTCCAAAAACAAAGGGGCTGCGCTGTACAGTGGAGCCCAGGGCTCCGGCCGTTGCATCCTGGGCACACGCTGTGTGAGTCCAACACATCGCAGACAGGTTTCGGGCCAATGAGGAAGCAGGGATAGTCATCACACATGTGCCGCAAGCCAATGAAAATGCTGCAAACACTTCGAGGCTGGGTGGCTGCCGGAACGTGCCTAACTGCATAAGGGCTAGATCAGTTTCGGAAACTGGCCCTGGGCGCAGACACATGGCGCCCAACTGAAGCTACTGGGCCCCCACACGCCTGGCCAGGACAGCCAGCAGCGACACACTTTGCATACAGGAAAGTGTGAGCCCCTGGCGGTTGCATTCTGGCCTAGGCAGGCAATGCGGACACGCTGCTACATTGCGACGCTAGTCCCTGCATGGGCGCTGCTGGTCGGAGGCAAACACAGGTGCAGTGGTGAGAGGGGCGCTGCTAAGGCATCGGGCGCACAGCAGCCATAGCCGGTCAGCTGGGGCGCAGGGCAGGTGATTGCGAAGGTGGTCTTCGGGTAGGAGGCACATGCTGTGGAAAGACGAGGGGTGACCAGGGGAGGAGAGAGAACTTACCTGGATATGCTGGTGGTCGGCATTGCTGTTGACGTCATGTACACTGGTCTTCGACTTCAGAGTGATCCAGTTGCAAGAATGTAGATGGGCTAGATAGGCTGAGGAGGATAGGCTGGGTGCTGGGCACCAGACCGTAAGTGCAACATTGGATAGTGTTGGTGTGACCACAGAGTGGCGACATTGACATTTGAGTTCATTGTATTCCTCTTATTTGGACAGTATATTGGGGCCTTTTGGTTCATGACTATCTGAGCTTCTTCGTGATTTTGCAACTTGGAGTTCTGTCTATCGCTCTCACTCATATTCCTTGCAAGAGGGAAAAGAAAAGAAAAAGAGAAGAAAAAGAAACTTTCCCAACATGATAGCCATCAGATACATTCGACGAGAAGCTGGTGAGACTGTGCCCTCATCGAAGTCATCTGTCCGGTGCAAAAAGAAACAAAGACCAAAAAAAATGTTAGTTCCCCTATCCCTTGAACGTCAGCTACAGGGCCATAGAGTGCTGGTGTGACTGCAACATGAGTGAGGCAGTTAGTGACCCCGCGTGGAATCTGCCCTGCCTCACTGGCAGGGCAGGAGAAAGAAAAAAAAGGGAAAATTTTGATATGCCCCTGAAAGTTGCATTTACTTGTAAAATACCCCTCAGACAGCTGACTTACCCTGATTTGCCCCTCTGACAGCGATAGAAGTTTTAAAAAAAACCCTGGTGTCGCTTGCACCTGAAATATGTTCAATAAGCCCCTACAGGTACCCGCGCCAAATTTCCAGTATGCCCCTACCGGATAGCAGTTGAAGACCAACAGAAATATTTTCCATATGCCCCTAGCCGTAGCTTGCATCTTTTCGGCCGATGTGCACGGACACGCATCTATGGCGGGCACTTCATCTCTCTCTCTCTCTCTCTCTTCGGCCGATGTGCACGGACACACATCTATGGCGGGCACTTCATCTCTCTCTCTCTCTCTCTCTCTCTCTCTCACACACACACACACACACACACACACACACACACACACACACACACGCACACACACACATGCACACACACACATGCACAATGCCCCTACCCGATAGCAGTTGAAGACCAGCAGAAATATTTTCGATATGCTCCTAGCCGTACCTTGCATCTTTCCGGCCGGTGTGCACAGACACGCATCTACGGTGGCCACTTCATCTCTCTCTCTCTCTCTCTCTCTCTCTCTCTCTCTCTCTCTCTCTCACA